TCCTCACCACCTCCTCCCACAATTGCAGGCACTGTCCATCAAGGTAGTAAGATGCTATAGAGTCATTACTTGTCTTTTCTGTGCTCTACTGCCTTCCCCGTCTCACCACTTTTATTTGACATAGTATTGGAAGTTCTAGTCACAGCAATTAGGCAACAAAAATAAGTAAAAAGCATCCAAATGGAAAGGAAGAAGTAAAACTGTCACTATTTGCAGATGACATGATACTATACATACAAAATCCTAAAGAGTCCACCAAAAAACTGCTAGAACTAATACATGAATTTGCTAAAGTGGCAGGATACAAAATCAATATACAGAAATCTGTGGCATTTCTATACACTAACAATGAAGTATCAGAGAGAGAAATTAAGAAAAAAATTCCATTTACATTTGCATCAAAAGTAATAATATACCTAGGAAGAAACTGAACCAAGGTGGTGAAAAACCTGTACACTATCAGACATTTATGAAAGAAATTAAGGACACAAATAAATAGAAAGATATCAGTATTGTTAAATGTCCATACAACCCAAAGTAGCCTACAGATTCAACTCAATATCTATCAAAATTCCAAAGGTATACTTCACAGAATTAGAATAAATAATTCTAAAATTTGTATAGAACCACAAGATACTGAATAGCCAAAGCAATCTTGAAAAAGAAGAAAAAAGCTGGAGGTATCATGCTCCTTGATTTCAAACTATATTACAAAGCTATAGTAATCAAAACAGTCTTGTATTTATACAAAAAGAGAGCACAGATCAATGAAACAGAACAGAGAACCCAGAAATAAGCCCACACATATACAGACAATTAAACTATGTATGACAAAGGAGCTAAGAACAAACACTGGAGAAAGGACAGTTTCCTCAATAATTGGTGCTGGGAAAACAATATAGGCACATGCAAAAAAATGAAACTAGACCACTACCTTATACCATAAACAAAAATTAACTAAAAATAGATTAAAGACTTGAAGGTAAGGCCCAAAGCCATACAACTCCTAGAAGAAAGCAGACAGTAAACTCCTTGATGTTGGTCTTAGTGTCATCTTTGTGGATCTAACTCCAAAGCAAGGGAGACAAAAGCAAAGATAAACAATGGACTACATCAAAATAAAAATGTTCTCCACAGCAAAGGGCACCATCATCAGAATGCAAAGGCAGCCTACTGAGTGGGAGAAGATATCTGCAAATCAGATATTCAAAAAGGGGTTACTATAAAAACTATATAAGGAACTCATACAACTCAACAAAAAAAACACAAACAACTCAATTAAAAAATGGACAGAGAATCTGAACAGACATTTCTCCAAAGAAGACATACAGATGGTCAACAAGCACATGAAAAGATGCTCAACATCACTAATCACTAGGAAAATGTATATCAAAACCATAATGAGCTATCACCTCACACATGTTAGAATGATTATTGTCAAAAAGACAACAAATAACAAGTGCTGGAGAGGATATGGAAGAAAGGAAACCATTGTACACTGTGTGGTACATTTCTTGATGCTTAAGGGTGTAGGCACAAGCTGACATTTAATCTCCACAAAAAGCTCAGCTTGGTGGACAAGTACATTTTAAAATGTACAGTACCAAAATACATGGGATGTCTTCCACCATCCTGGGACCATGGTTTGCCCCTCTCTTCAAGCTGTTCTTTTACTCCAGAGAAGTAGCCCAGAACACAAGACATGCTGAGCCTTGGCAGAGATCTGGGTACCACATCTTGCTTGCAAAGTGATTCCACATCCAGGGCCAGTTTCTGGCCACGCTGTTCCTCTCCACTCTATCACACTTTGCCTCTCTGAGACTTGGAGGGGCCAGTCAGTTGGAATCAGGTCAAAGAAGAGTTGTCAGGTGTGAACAAAGAGGAATGTGATCAGGGTTGGTGAATTATCAGGGTAAAGCACAGGCATGACATCACTAGATTTTTATGTTAGACAATTTGGGCAGCAATGTGGAAGATGGATTTGAGAGGCAGAGGCTAATGAGGAGGTGACCACTCTAATACAGTTTCAAGAGATCCTCAATTTGAGAGGCTCTGATGGTACCAGTCTCACTCTAAGAACCCCAGCCAGTGTCAAAGAGAATGCAACAGGAAGAGAAGGAGCGGTGACATGGGAGCATGCCTCCTCTCTCTAGCTGACTCCTGCTGATTGGTAATAGCTGCCTGGTGCACAGTACTGAACACATCTACTGCTAAAATCTAGACACAGCAGGAAAATATTTCCCTATCGATTGGCATTATCATCCTTGAGCAGGAAGGTGGAAACAGAATAAATGTGTGCTGTTTATTTCTAAAACTGTGTTAAGAATATGTATTAGAGAGGGTAAAAGAGTGCAAAACAGAGAAGGAATAAAAAGGAGATGAATATGAGGGATTAAAAGAAAACTGATGGAGCAGGAAAAAACAGGAATTAGTGCAGATGTGGGAGTGGCATTCAGAACTGATGCATGACCAGAAAGGTGAGGTCTAAGGAAGAGAAAGAATCTCATGCTTCCTTCTCAACCATTATTCTCAATACATCTCAATACAGTGTGAAAATCTGTCCATCCAGGGCTTTTCCTGTGGGGAGTCCACAGGCTAACTGTGCCACTAGCAAAAAATATGAAGATTCCTGGGCCCCAAGTGAATCAAAGTCTCAGCATACAGTATCAGTGACTCTATTAAATACAATAACTGAGAACAAAGTTTTTTATGTCAAATGGATTGGTGCTACAATCCCAGAAGTATGACATTTACTATATAAGAAAACATGGTCTGTCACAATAGGGGGACATAACTATATAAACTTTAATTGACAGAATCACATAAGAAGTTGATGATATCGGGGAAAACTCTAAGGACTGTTATATCTTGCCAGACTCTGCAGTGTAGAACTGAAAATTCCTATTCTGGATTTTGTTATAAATCTAGAGTGATTATAAATCCACATGGGTTGGTTGCAGAACTGCCTGGAAGAAGCAACACTTGGGGTTTTACCTACAATCCCATGAATCGTAATTTTGTAAAGCTGCATGAGGTGGTTTCACAATAAATACCTTTTTAAATCCATCTTCTTTATTACTAATATCAACCTCAGTCACTTTAGGCTCATAATCAGTGCTTTCCCTCTCTTCTGCTTCAATTTCAAAAGCAACATGTTTCTTTTGTTCTATAGATCAAAGACAAAACAAAAACATGACATTTAATGTTGAGCATTTGGTTTATTACATATGGCCAGCCCTTCCTAGGAAACCCCTTCTTAAAGAGTTCTTTTTTTAAAAATTTTAAATTTGTTCCTGCCTTGAATTCAATTTAAATCACCCATCACAATAGAACTGTCATTCTACTAAGAAATATGCTCTCCAAATATACTCTTGGCATCTAGAATTAAGTAACATTTGAAGAGGGTTTTACATATTACCTTTCTAAAACATCAGTTTACCTTTTGAGTTATCTAACTTAATGAGCTGATACTTTTGTGTTTTTGACACTTCTGAGAAAAATAATTAAACTAAGAGGAAGAACTCTGAGAGACAGAAGACATGCTGTGGATACTTATTTAAGCTCAGAGTTTCTCAGCCTCAGCATGGTTGACATTCGTAGCTGTTGAGGGCCTGTCCTGTACCTTGTAAGATGTTCAGCATTCCAGGCCCTTACCCATTAGATACAGTAGCACCCCTATGCTGTGTAACAACCAAAAATGTCTCCAGCCATTTTAGAATTCTGTGCAGAGAGAGACAGCATTTAACATAGCAAGTGTAAGACTGCTGGCCATAGAAAGGCCTGCTTGCAAGATTGGTCCTTGACTGGCATCTGGGAACTCAATTTCAGAAAAGTTCCCACCACTCTCTAACTGATAAAAGGGGCTCACAATCTCTAAACAGTTTGTGCAAATGATGTGGTATATGACAAACACCTGCTTTCCTTTTGGGAGTCTGGAACACTGGTACCCTCTAAGCAGAGACGCCTACTAAAAAACATATCTGCAACTCTTGTGGTTCAAACATTAAAACTACTGAAATTACCTGGTAACCGTTTTGCTGTTTTTGTGCTGTCCTTAACTTCAGAAATAGTCTCAAATATTGATATAAGTTCTTTGACAGCTTCCTCCATGTGCTTACTTTTGTGGTTTAGAACATGAGTCCACTCTTTTGTGTATATCTGTTAAATAAAGAAATCACTTAATTTCCAGATACTTAAAAATACTATGAAAATTATGAACGACTTTAATTTATAAAACCACTAGAAAGTATTTAACTTATAACACCACTTGAAAACAACTAGATATAGTTGCTAGTAGCATAATGTTTTAGATCCAAAACTGTCAATGGCTAAAGGCATGGCATCTAAAGCCCTAAGCAAAAGAGGGGAAAGAAGAAAAATGCAAAGTCTTTGATCTTTATCTGATTTGAACACACATAGGTATCTGCATTCACATGTATATGGTGAAAGAAAGAAGGCTGAAGGAAGACAGTATAGCACAGAGAAGACAAGTGACTCTATAGCATCTTACTACACTGATGGACAATAACTGGAATGGGATGTTTGTGGGAGATTTGATAATGTGGGTGAATATTGTAACTACAATGTTGCTCATATGAAACCTTCATGAGACTGTATATCGGTGATACCTTAATAAAACAAAGAAGGCTGAAGGAGTAGAGAGGTGATGTCAAAATTGAGAACAAGAAGTGGTTTTAAAAAATGAAAATCCAAGGAGGAGCCAAGATGGCAGTGTGAGTAGGGCAGCGGAAATCTCCTACCAAAACCATATATATTTTAGAAAATAAAACAAATACAACTATTCCTAAAGAGACCAGAAGATACAGTACAACAGCCAGGCTACATCTACATCTGTGAGAACTCAGCACCTCACGAAGGGGGTAAGATACAAGCTGTGGCCTGGTGGAACCCGAGTGGCCCCTCCCCACCCAGCTCTCCAGCGGGAGGAGAGGAGTCGGAGTGGGGAGAGAGAGGGAGCCCAGGGCTGCTAAATACCCAGCCCTAGCCATTCGCACCAGCAGCGCAGACATACATTGCATGGTGTGCTGGATATTACGGAAATGGAACAGTAAAATCTGTGAGCAGGTTCCCACAGCTGGCGCCCCTGGGACAAAATAAAAGTGAGTGCTTTTTGAAATTCTTAAAGGGACTGGGGCTCCACAGCTGGATGGAAGTGTCCCAGCACACTAGGCCCAATAGGTGGGAATCCTGGGGAAATTCAGGCGCTCGAGGACCCTGGGAGGAAGCAGAGCTCTGAAGCCCCTCACTGTGATAAACAGCATCCCATCCATTTCCCCTCAGGCACGGCCCCACCATAGCAGGAGAGAAGCCTGAGAGTGGCCGTGCACACAGAAACTGCCCAGAGCCTCCTCTGCAGCCGCCTGGGCCAGACTCAGAGGCCCCACTGGCACGCACACACAGAGGAAGCCAGGACAGGGTGCAAAGGGTTGCCATTCTCTCAGGAGAGCACACCTGGCATGCCTACCCCTCCTTACAAGGCTCTGGGCTGCCACGATGGCTGCCCCACTGGCGGTGGTCAAGGAAATAAAACCAGAAGCTGCTCCCTGTGTGTGAGACATTTAACTCCCAGCTGCCATATGCACCAACTGCCTACGACTACCACTATAGCCATGAAAAGGCAGAATAATCTGATCCAGTCGAAAATCACCCAGACAAACCCTGAGAGGGAGTCTGGGAAGATAGATTTAACCAATCATCCTGAAAAAGAATTCAAAATAAAGATCATAACCATGCTGATGGACCTGCAGAGAAATATGCAAGAGCTAAAGGATCAAATTAGGAGGGAGAATACAGTAATAAAACAATCTCTGGAAGGCCTTAAGAGCAGACCGGATGAGGTGCAAGAGGCCATTAATGGAATAGAAATCAGAGAACAGGAACACAGAGAAGCTGAGGTAGAGAGAGATAAAAGGATCTCCAGGAATGAAAGAATACTAAGAGAACTGTGTGACCAATCCAAATGGAACAATATTCGCATTATATGGGTAACAGAAGAAGAAGAGGAGAGAGAAAAAGGGATGGAAAGTGTATTTGAAAAAATAATTGCTGAAAACTTACCCAAACTGGGGGAAGGATATAGTCTCTTAGACCATGGAAGCCCACAGAACTCCCAACACAAGGGACCCAAGGAGGACAACAGCAAGACATATACTAATCAAAATGGAAAAGATCAAGGACAAGGACAGAGTATTAAAGGCAGCCAGAGAGAGGAAAAAGGTCAATTATAAAGGAAAACCCATCAGGCTATCATCAGACTTCTCAAAAGAAACCTTACAAGCCAGAAGAGAATGGCATGATATATTTAATGCAATGAAACAGAAGGGCCTTGAACTAAGAATATTTATCCAGCACAATTATCATTTAAATATGAAGGCGGGATTAAACAATTCCCAGACAAGCAAAAGTTGAGGGTATTTGCCTCCCACAAACCACCTCTACAGGATATAAAGGGATGGCTCTAGATGAGAGCACTCCTAAGGCAAAAGAGATGTCACCAGAGAAAATAAAATCACAACAAAGAAAGAAAACCAACCAAATACTAACTAAAGGCAAAAAAATAAAATCAACTACTCACAAAAGCAGTTCAAGGAAACACAAAAGAGCACAGAATAAAACACCTAACTTATAAAGAATTAAGGAGGAAGAATAAGAAGGGAGAGAAATAAAGAATTATCAGACTGTGTTTATAATAGCTTAAGAAGCGAGTTAAGTTAGAAGGATTGATAGTAAAGAAGCTACCCTTGAACCTTTGGTAACCACGAATCTAAAGCCTGCAATGGCAGTAAGTACATATCTTTCAATAATCACCCTAAATGTAAATGGACTGAATGCACCAATCAAAAGACACAGAGTAATAGAATGGATAAAAAAGCAAGACCCATCTATATGCTGCTTACAAGAGACTCACCTCAAACCCAAAGACATACACAGACTAAAAGTCAAGGGATGGAAAGAGATATTCCATGCAAACAACAGAGAGAAAAAAGCAGGTGTTGCAATACTAGTATCAGACAAGATGGACTTCAAAACAAAGAAAGTTTCCTATACACTAACAACGAATCAATAGAAAGAGAAATCAGGAAAACAATTCCATTCACCATTGCATCAAAAAGAATAAAATACCTAGGAATAAACCTAACCAAGGAAGTGAAAGACTTATACTCTGAAAACTACAAGTCACTCTTAAGAGAAATTAAAGGGGACACTAATAAATGGAAACTCATCCCATGCTCATGGCTAGGAAGAATTAATATCGTCAAAATGGC